CCGCTTTTCTCAAAACTCGAGGTATTTTTATGTTTTATAATTAAAAATAAAAAATGTGTTACGATTACTTATATGTAACTGGATATAATATCAATAAGTTGAATATATTAAATTTTCAAAATATTAATTATCCAAAATTTTATTATACATAAAATTTAAAAATAAATAATACAATTTCTTAACGTTAATTATATACATAGTCCTGGCTAAATAATTTGTAGTTATAATTCTAATATTAGAACCCACGAATCAATAAATATATACAACTCATTGTAAATTAATTTAATAATGTCTTTATATCATTATTAATAAATATTCTTAATTTTACGTATTAAAGAACACGACCAGCTTTACGATATGTTTTATAAGCAATCCATCGGTCAGGAACCATAAGGAAATATCTATAAAAATACAATAAGATTAGTATAAAAACATTTAAATCATTTGTTCAATATTTTTCACAACAGTCATGTACCTGTCCATAGCTTCTCTAAACCTATTTTTATATTGACGAGGTGTAACAATAGTCGGCTCTTTTCCACCACCACCTAAAAATCCTGTCTCTTTAACCCAACTTTCAAGTTTCTTGTCCCATGTAAATGTCCGTATGAAATCTTTTTAAAATAGTTACAATTAATTAATTAAATTAAGAATAAATACAATAATTGATTAAATTATTTGAAATCATACCAAGTATTCCAACAACTAATTCACGGTTTTCTTCATCGATTCCGACCAAGAGAGAATAGTCCATTACGTTATGTCTCGCCAAGAATAATGTATCGTTGAACAATGATTCATGTAAAAGTTTCTTTGCATGTTCTCGAAGATATAATGGATTTTCGTTCATAATGACTATAAAGATAAAATAATATTAATCTTAATAATAGTAAACACTAAATTGGATTGAATCTAAAATATCAAAAACCCTCTTACGTTCTAATAAATTCTCATCTAATAAAACCTCATTTTCTTTTCCGGTACTCTGTACATGGCGATTTCGCATGGATCCTTTTAGATCAAAAATCTGTAAATTTCGAATAATTATGTTCATTAAATTAGGAATAGTTTCTATCAATGCAATAATTAAATATGGAAGTTTTATCTTGAAAATCAAAAGTTTGATCATATGATTTTACTATGATCCTTAAGTTATTTTCAAGGCAGAGACCCCATATGTTAGATTATTACCATGAACAATATAATATCCGAAAAATTGAGTTTATATTTACTTTTGACACTTTACGCTCATAGAAAAGGTTTTCCATGACAATAACATTTATATTTAAATGTTTTCCATTTTGTTCATTTTTATACCCAATGCGATAAAATCCAAAAATTTTGGTCAATACGGTAGGAAGCTAATAAATGACGATAATAGGTTTCGAGTTTAAGAATTTAACATATAAATATATATAAAAATCCATTAAATATATATTACTAACGTGAATTAAGGCATTAGCCATGTATTCAAAATATTTTGGAGCGAATTTTAAGAACGCATCCACTTCGTTACGAGAAATTTGTTTCATGACAAGGCGATCATCTAAATAGGTAAATAGATAAATTATAAGTATTCGTAACACATTTTTTATTTTTAATTATAAAACATAAAAATACCTCGAGTTTTGAGAAAAGCGGAGCCGGATTTGCCTCCGCTCGAATCCCATTTAACACATCGTGCGAGTGATTGTATGTAAGTGCTCTCACAACCACATTTACGCCTAAGTGTATCAAACTGATCGGCACAAAAGATTTTGCAGACAAATTGTGTAGAGCCACCGGTAAATTCTACGAAATAAAATAATAAACAGTGAATAGCCATCATCAATAATAATAATGGAGTAAATTGACTATTATGCCTTACGATATTTCATATGCGATAATAGATTATCCTCTACTTCATTGGTTTCTTCTCCTTCTAGCATCAAGTTGGCAGATTTAGAACTAAATCGATCATCTCCTACTGTGAATATATCATTGGTTTGATTGATTTGCACTGTCTTCAATTTTTCCAAGTATTCTTTTGAACTTTAATATATATATATATATAATGAATGAGATTAGTTAGCAATTTTACAAATTGAATTATAATTAATTGTTTTAAGTATTTACCTCAATGCAAAAGCTATTATTGACCCCGGTTCATCTTCTCTAACAATAATTGAAGAGTCGGAAAAAACATGTTCTGTCGGATTTCTAATGTCATATCAAGTAAGAAATTAATAAATAAAATTATTATTATAAAATAAAATGTTGGTAAATAACTTACAAAGGATAAATCAGTGGATCTAAATTTTTTTTATCGGTCCAAAAGCTTGTAATAGATCTCATCACCCTTTGTACATTAGAAGAATCACTTGCATCATTTGGAAGTAAATATCTACTGGATCCTGAAAATGATTCTGCTACTGGTGTAGTTGGTTCATTGAGATCACTTCCTAAAAATGCCAATGCGGAATGATATATATATGTTTCATCCGATGGTTCTCGACCGGGTAATGTAGCAAATTCTTCATTTCCCAACAATTCGTCAAATACATCTGTACGATTTAATGAGAAAATTCGTCTTTCATCATCGTAATATCGTTCGGGACAATCATCTATACCTTCATCAGAGTCATCAGAGCAATCTGATTCTTCTGCAGTAGCGTCCTTTGCATTGTTATAAACTTCAATAATTGGCTTAGAGGGTAGAATAGTTGGCCTACGTTTTGATTTATAAAAACTAGCTAATTTATTTTTTCTATTTTCATGAGATCTTATTGCAGAAAGTCCATAACCATCCGGTAAAGTATGTTTAAATGTAGATGATCTGTTAGATTTTGGAATTTGACGAGGAATTCCAGATTTTTCAGAGGCTATATTTTGATTTCTCTTAGTTTGTATCTTTTTGAGTGAAGGATAATCTTGTACATTGCTTTCTTTTTCTAATACTTGCTGTAACCGACTAATTCGAGATGTTGATGACGATTTTGCAGGAGATTGTAATGACGATACCCGATTTTGCTTAGAAGGTAATGTGTTACTACGCCCGTTTGTGTTGTGCGAATCTGAAAATACTAACAAGGAAGGTGATGATGCAGCATGCCTTTGTTTAATAGTAGATGGTATTATATGAGGTATTTCAGTTGTTTGAGTAAAATCGCAATCTTCTTGTTTGTCAGGAATAGCTGGAAAGATTGATTCTGATGGTGTGCGAGTTATTAATTGTCTTTGACATGATTTAGATTCTTGCATCCATTTCATTGATAAACGCCTAGAAACCTTTGGATCCATAAATGGAAACAAGGTCAATTGTGAAGCGACCTTTTCTATGTCATTTTCAAGACTTTCAATTTCTCCTTCATTAAAGAAATCTAACTCTTTAAGTCCATTTATAATAAGATCCGCTGTAGGAGAACTTCCTAATTTTGGAACAATCGTAGGACCAATAGAATCATTGGTCTTAGAATCTAATACAGTGTCAAGATCCATACTTATCAATGGCAAATCATCGAAAAATGAGCTCGAATAACCACGTAAAGTAATCGCTTCATGATTATCAACAAAAAATCTCCTTATTTGTTTTGCGGTTAGTCGAAAATATTGTCGAGCAATATCATTAAAATCTTTATCCCATTCCACAACTTTATTTTGGAGAACACATAATACATTATTTAATGCCAAGGTATCTTCAGGTGGGCTATTAACATATGTTTGTTGAAGTTTTTGAAGCATAAATTTCTTTTCTGTCACAACTCTTCTTGACATTTCTAACATTTCTTGTTTGCACATTTCAACCTTATCTGGCTGAACAATCTCATAATTGAAATTTTTTATTCTATCAGCTACTGAATCCCAATAATTCGTTATTTTATGTCGAATTGTATCTAAATCTTGATTTTTAAGACGAATATGAACTTCGGGCTTGGTATATAGATGCATAGGTGGTGCATATACTTCTTTAAGTTCGATTGACTCATATCGAAATCTAACCGTAAGCTTATTAAAATGGAAGAATAAATCATGATCATGAAAAATATTATGCGAGCATTTTTCTATACGGCTTTTAACTTCTGTTTGATAAAAAGAAAGTTCTAAATATTTTCCAAATGAATATTTCCATGTATCTTCACTCATTAATGTAGGTTGTGTCACAACGTCACATTTTTTGCAATGAGTAGACAAGAATATTTGATCCACATTTAGGTGAGGGAGATTTGTATTTTCGTCAATATACACGGTAATTCGTGAATTTCCGTGACAAAACCAGTGATAATGCATGAATAGCGGACGATCACACGCAGTACATAATACATTAGACCTTGAACACATGCCTTCTATATATTGTCCAAGTGTACGATCAGATTCGCGATAATATTCCATAACCAAAATCTCGGGCTCATTGCATGGATTTCCATTCACAGTGCAAACTTTAGAATACAACACCGATATATTTTGATGTGCATATGGGCTAACAATATTATTATATACATAACTTTCCCAAGCACGTGTCTGAAAGATATGATCATGGATGGCATCAGAAAATTCTGCTTCAGCTATAACTTGCTCAGGAGTACGTAAAATACCTGAAAGTCCAACAGAAGTAGATGGTGCCGAATGTTGTTTATCACCATCTTTATTTGAAGACCAATTACGTTTTTGTACCAAATCCGCAAGCCTTTGTTCAGCTTGCTTCATTCTTGTCAATAAATAAGGTGGTGGGAATTTAATAAATGGGGACACTGAAAGTATAGTTGATTCATATGGTCCTAATGGATCCAACTCATCACATTTAACAGAAAAGTAATCATGACTAGTAATTTGAAGATCTTCAATAAAATCAGGTGTTTTTGCGGATTGATCCATTATCAGAGCAGTCTCTAATTTTAAATTATATACCACGAAAACCATGAGATCGGCGATACGTTTTACTTTTTCAAGAATTCCCATATTTCCTCCTCGTAAAACAATAGTACAACCTAAATCTTTAGGACATTCTTCAAAAAATAAATAAGTCTTTCGTCGACCTGGAATAAGTTGATGGTCAAAAGTTTTAACCAAAAACTTTCCACAATTGCCCAATTTTGGTTCTATAGCAAGTTTATCGATAGATTGAATGATATCAGCTCGTGCACAACGAGCAACAGCTTCAATAACAGATGCCTTAACATTTAAAGCAACTGCAATATTTTTTTCTAACAACATTTGCAAAGCCTTACGAGCGACTGTTTTTTCAACTAAAACTAAATGAGGACGTAATGCAGCAATTCTATTGACCAATAGACGTAAATGTTCTTCTTCTTGGGCAATAACCGGTTCCAATGACATTAATTGATTCTCCACTCGATGATATTCCAAAGCAAAAGTTAAAATAAGAACTCTAGGATTATGAAGAGCCCTTGACATTTGTTTATGAGCCAAATTTTTTGCACATACAACACCATGAACATATTCAGAATCTTGAGGTGTACCACCCGGAATTCTTTTAATTTTTACATAATGTCGAATGTCAATCTCATCACCACCACGAACATTTGGATTTAAATTATTAGAAACTTTTGTCATCAAAGCCATTATTACATCCTCCCAACCTTCGGATAAATCAATTTCGGATTCCCGTAAAAATTGACGTAATAATTGTCTCATATGTTGTAGGGAAATTGGACTAATTTCAGTTTTAGTTTGCATAGAAGTAGTTCTAGAATGTCGCATACTAAATGGAGATGAAGGTCTAGATTCTACAGAACAAGACATTTCCATAGGCACACTATTTGGATTAATTTGTCTGAGTAAACCACTTCTTTTTTTACCTACTCTGGATGAACGATTACTATTAATACTCCATCGTCTCGAAGAACTTTTATCTCTAGCAAAATGACTTCTTATATCCTCAGCACGTTGACCTTTTGGCATTGAACGTAAAGAAGATCTTGAACCATATTCACTAGCTTCATCATCACTACCAGCATATTCAGAAACGGCAGGGGTCGGAGTAGCCGATTCACTACTTCCACCCACGTGTAAAATACTAGTAACAAAGCTTAAAACATTTGATGGATTTGTTAAAGAATCATAATGAACATCATCATCTTCTTCATCACTCATAAAAGGAGCGATTTCAGGGTCAAGAACAGCTTCAGGATTTGCGGCAGGAGTATTTTTATCATCTTCAGCAAGACTACGTCGAAAAGGAGCAGGGGAAGAAGGTAATCCTACAATATGGGAATCCTCAGTTATAGTATTAGATCTTGACCTTGACATAAATAAAGAAGAGCCAACAGAAATAATTTTTTTTAAACCATCATTCAAAGAGAGAGTATCAGGAGAAGGAGGACGTGGAGAAAGGTGAGAATTAATAGTAGAAGAAGTTAATTCAGACGTTGCACTTGATGGAATAGTGTGATTGTCAGTTGGCATAGGCTGAGTAATATGTAACCTTGGAACAGCATGATTTGAAAAATCAGGTTTTTCTGGATTCCAATATTCTGGTTCAGAATCAGAATCCTCACCATAATCTTTAATAAGTTGACGACAATAATTACAAACACGCATAGCACCATCATAATTAAACTTTTCACCAGGTATTATATTGGAAGCACATTTAGAACAGAATATCTGACCTTTTATTAAAAAAATAAAATAAAATAAAATAAATAAAAATTAGTAAAATAATCATAGGAAAAATGGTTATGTATGCATATATATATATAAATATATATATATAATTTATATATATGTATGTATTTATATATATATATATATATATATATATTTATAATTTATATATATGTATGTATTTATATATATATTTATGATTTATATATATGTATGTATTTATATATTTATGATTTTACTTGCCACATATACGACAATGGTGTTTTCTTCGAACTAAGGTAAAGGTAGTTTTACAATCATAACATTCTTTACAAGTATCATCGGCCATCCAATAACCTCTATTTACGCCTTCACCACGTAACCTTCTGATAACTTTACTAAATGAATAGCCAGAATTATTAGCAGTAGATGCAGTAGCCTGAACAGATTGTATAGATCGGGTATCCGAAACATCTTTATAAATAGGATACGTGTCTTGACACGTTGCATCGAGACCCTCCTGAGAATTTTGTTGGTTGGTAGAACCATTAACTAAACTTGAAGTAGTATTGATCCCATTTACAGTACCATTAACATGGTCTTGAACATTGTCCGTAGACTCTAATTTAAGCTTTGATGGGGCACTTCCAAGGAAAGGTTCTATTGAGACGACGGGGGGAGCAGGGGTGACACCGTGTTTAAAACCTTTATTATCTTTATCTGGTAATAATAGCGACGAGGTACTTTTCGAAGGTTCAAAATCAGGATCTTGAGAAGAATTTGTTGAAGAATTTTCGAGAGGATCTGTAGAATTGTTTACATTCGGAGTACCAGGGGATACAGCGAAAGAACTTTTTACGCGTTGAAATATTTTTGATATTACATTTTCATTATCCTCTTCACCAGGTCTATAACCAAAACTTGTAAGCGTGGCGACATCCGAGTTGGAAAAGCTATTGTTCGACCGGACTGAAGTCATGTTAAAGCTGATTAAAGAAAATTCTTATAATTTACTTATAAACATAGGGATATGCTGCAAGTATAAAACAACGAAATGAAAAAAAAATTTATATGAATGCAAACAATAGCAACATATATAGAGCAGATTGATTATGTCATCTACTATTACGATTTGTGTAATGTAACGTAATACAATTCGTAACATCGATACAAATACGTATATAGTACTTCTCTCGGCGGAATAAAATAAAATAAATTCATTACTTTTATTACATAATAACGGAACTTGTACGTATATGTAATATTCAATAGCATTAACGTTAATGTGTATTAGATTTCTACACTTTATTACGTAGCTCACTTAAAATGAAAGTTGACTACGTAGAATTCAAGATATTATTGTTACCATATCAGATATCGATATACACGACTGATCTCAAATTTAAGCTTGGATATTTACTATGATGGAGATCCTGGCTGATCAAATCTTATTATTTAGACCGACTAGACTGACTAGACTGAGTCGATAAATTTTTATCGCTTGGCCAAAAACGCTCGTCAATTGACTGTCTATATTTCCAGTGTTTCCCTAATTCACCGATTGGCTATATATTGAAAATGAATATTACTGGAGTAGCATACTTCAGAATCTTCAGAATCACACCAGGTTGAACTCAACCCAAGTTAATACGTAGAGTGAGTTGAAGATCAGATCGACCTAACACAACACATTAACTGTCAGGCTTGAAGTTGGCACCTGTTTTAGGTTGCAACTGAAGCTGCACCTGGAAGTAGTACCTAAAATTAGATTTTTCTCACATGCATGAGTAATTTTAGGTAGATGCAGCTGCAACTTCAGGCAGATGCTAACATATATCACGACATTACTATAGAAGGATACTCGCTGATTTCATTTGAATAAATATGAGAGAATAAAATCAAAGTAAAAGATAGGATTTCTCTAAATAATAAAAATTCAAGAATGATGAATTAATGTTTAAAAATCAAAAAAATCGAAGCCTGAAAATAATTAAATTCTTAATTCTAACTTTTTTTGTAACCTTATAAAATTAGGTCAAACCATTTTTCTTGATTTACTCACATTTCGGATTTTCTTTACAATATAAGGTAATCGACAAGTACTGAAGCAGAATTCTACGTATCGAGAATATCTTGTGCATTAGTCAAATTAAAGATGGTAATAAGATGGTAAAAGATGGTAAAAGATGGTAAAAGATGGTAAAAGACCGGGTTACGATAATCAGAACAGTAAGTAATTCAATAATTATATCGTAAACGATTAAGGGTGACTCCTTATTGTGTTTCATAACCCGTTTGATATTAACTTTTTTAAAATCTAAGCAAAAATAGAAATTAGCGGGGATGCATTATCGTACATATGCGGAGATTTACAGGAGGCATAATTTACATATAATATACGTAATATAATATAATATAATATAATATAATACATTATAAATAATAAACGTCAGATACATGTTTTGATGCTTATTTTTGCAAGTGCATGTGGTAATTCACAATGATGTCGCTTATATTCACGTATTGCGTAATTTTTAACAGTCACGTATCATTTTATTGTCAAAATTTTTATATTTCTTTTGAATATAGTTTGAAATATATATTAGTTTGAAACTCGCATGTGAAGGATTTACGAGATTTACGTTTTGTTTTCTGAATTGTGTATATATATTTCTTTTGAGTAATGTCACGTGTATAGTATTAATTCGTGTAATTAACGATCAAGTTTTTATGATGTACAAAACACAAATACACATGGTTTATTTCATTACTGGAAATGGTGAACACTAGAAAAAAATTATATTCGATACTAATATATAATTGAGTTAAAAACATTTGGTTGTTAATGAGTTGGGTTAGTCTGAAATTAGTTTATAATTTGTACTCCCGCTCCAGGTTGATTTCCGACAAAATAATCTACAGTAATTACAGTAATTACAGTAATTTACTCCAGTCTGGATTGAGTTTAATTAACAATTCTGTCATTATCAGTTATTTACAGTTATTTACAGTTATTTACAGTTATTTAAAAAGTTAAAATACGGTATTTTATACGGTATTTTATTCTTTTTATTCTTTTTATTCTTTTTATTCTTTTTATTCTTTTTATTCTTTTTATTCTTTTTATTCTTTTTATTCTTTTTA